CAAAAAATAAATAAAAATAAGGGACTAACCTGTGGGATAGGTATGCATTTGTGTGCTGGGAGGAGGATCCAGCCATTCAACACTAAGCTGGCTTCTTTCCCTAAGCCTTTTTCATCTTCTGTAGAAACCAAGGACGGATTCAAATGTATCAAAAAACATGAATGTGGGTTTACAGGAGCCGTATACTGTTTAATCAAATCCCATGTTGGGGCTAAATGTAAGCCAGCAGGAAAAGGGTGTTTCTCAAGCATGAGCTTAGAAAGATGTATTTTCTTTTATTAGAAAAGAGGGGCTCTGACTACTTGCTGTAAATTCTTTGTGCACGTCATGCACTGAGCTCACTCTGTAGTGCCTCTTGCCTTCGCATTGTGCTTCAGGTTCTAACTTTTATCAGTATCCAAAGAACTCTGGGTCTTTGTGGAACAGAAATGCATTTTTTTCTCATCCTGTGGTTGTGAGTCTGTGGGCCTACAAGGTCTCCCTAGGTAGATCAGACTCGTAGATTGGACTCTTAGTGAACCGCCTGTGTTCAGCCTCCCAAGAGCTGGGATTACAGGCACATGCCACCACGCCCAGTATCTCAGCAAGCCTTGCCCCTGGCAGGCCGGTGAGGCTAAGGTTTGCTGCTGAGGCCTGGGTTTGCCGCCGCTGCTGCTGTTGCCTGCCTAAGCAGGTGCTTTAATCCACTGAGCTATTTGACCAGCCCTTAATGCTTATTTTAACAGTTTGAGGGAACTTGAAGACTGATCTTGCAAAGATCCATCTGCCTCAGCCTCATAAGTGCCACGATTGCAGGCATTCATCACCACACCTGGTCAGTTTGAGGGATTTTTTTTTTTTTTTTGCGGAAGAGGGCATTGAACTCAGGACCTTGTACTTGCCAGGGAAGTGCTTATTCTACTGAGCCATCACCCCGGCCCAGTTTGAGGGATTTCTATAGCACAGTTTTAGTTTCTCCTTGAAAAATTATTTGAAGGACTATAAGGCATCCCAGCTGTAAACAACATTTTCTCTTAAGGGACTGCTTTGTTGCTAAGGAGCGAGGCCCCCAGACTGTTATTTATTCTGTTTTTCAAATCAGATCCTGTGGTTATTGTTGTTTGTTTCTTCTTGTTTTTGTACTGGGAATTATACTCAGGACCTTGTACTCGGCCAGGCAGGTGCTGCACTGCTGAATTATATCCTCACATCTGTTGGAATTCAGGTCCACATTTTCTCTATGGCCTTCTCCCTCACAACCACAAAGATTCTGTAATCTGTATTTGAAGGCATTCCACATTTTCTCCACTATGTCTGTTGCTTATAAGATCTTCCTCCAACCAAAAAAGCAATTCAGAAATGCTCTGAGCGTATTTCACACATATTGGGTCTTGGCCTGGGGTTGCGACCTCTCCTGCCTTTCCATCTTGGAGGCTGGCACTGCCTGCGCAGTGTGTAGGGGCACCAGCCAGAGATGGATTGCGCAGGCTACAGATAATGAGCGGGAAGAGTTGGCTTCTAGTGATTGCACAGGGACCAGCTGTGGGCGGCTGACCCAGCGACAGAGGGGACACTAAACTCACAGCCTCCTCCAGGGCACCAGTGGCCAGGCAGGCATGGTACAGCTCTCCAGAGGGCAAGTGTACCCACCCAGGGGTACATTCAGCCTTTCTGATGCCCACTCAACCCTGCCACATTTACTCCAGACAGCAAAGGGACCTGGGACAACCCAGTTCTTCCAGATGCCCCTGCTATGCCCTCCCTGCCTCCCTCTCTTCCTCTTTTCCCATCCCCTCCAGCCCCCCACCCAGCCTTTCTTTTAGATGATCTATTCCCTATAGCCGCTAAAAACAATGCAAAACCACCATAGAAAACTTTCCACAGTTAAAACATCTGCTGTTCTTATCTTTGGGAGACCAGCTCCTTATAGAGAAGGTCTAGAGGACCTTAGAGCATTGAGTAGCTTGAACAAGTTCTGCAACAATAGTTTTTAAGTACTTTTTTTATTTCCTCTGTCCCTCGATCAAATGGGACCTTGTGCTTGCCAGCAGGTGCTTGTGCTGCTAAGCTATCTCCTCGCCCAACAACAGTTTTAACATACATGTTTTACTTTGCCCACAATTTGGTGACCAGTAAGAAAAACCAAAGTGTTCTGATTTTGGTTTTATGGTACTAAAGATTGAACCCAGATCTTAATTGAGCTACATTCAAGTTCTTTTTAAATTTTGAGACAAGGCCTTGCAACCCTTTTTTCTGTTTCAGCCTCTTACTAGAGTGCTGAGATTGCATGCATCACTACTCACAACTGCAAAGGTTTTTTTTTTGTTTTTGGTTTTTGGTTTTTTTTTTTTTTTTTTTTTT